TCTGAACAGCAGAGAGAGTGGAACCTTACCCTGTACGGCATTACCCTCCAAATCACCATGTTCAAGCCCATTGTTGTAGTCCTGTGTCAACTGTGGGTTCAGGAAAGCCAATTTAAAAAAATTTAATAATGCTGAACTAATTACAGATTCCAGATATTGTTAGGTGCCAGTGAACTGACCATAACTCATAGTGGACAACAGACTGAAACCCTGTCCTACTGTGTACCATCCTCATCATGTACCACATCCAAGCCCGCTGTCGCACTCACTGTGTCAATCCATCTTGTTGGAGGTCTTCCTCTCCTTCACTAATCCTCCAGTTTTCCAAGCATGAAGCCTTTGTCTAAGGAGGGGCGTCTCCAACATGCCCAAAGTACGTGAGATGAAGTTTCATGTGAAATGTGGCTCTTGGCTAAGAGCTATCAAATGACAGCAATACCAGGGGACTGATACTGGGACCATCCTCAGAGCTGCTTCATTTCTCACTAGTATTATAAACACTGTCATCCACTAGCAGCTTCATGTAGCCACTACCAGTCAAGACAGCCGTGCTCCACACTCCACGACTCCTTTATAGTTACAGCCCCATCTGTCTTCCGTCTAGTTCTCTAACCCCTGGCCACCACTAATGTGTTCTCCAATGCTACATTTTTCTCCATTTTCAAGAATGTTACATAAATGGAATCAGACAGCACAGAACCTTCTGAGATTGGTTTTTCTTTCTTTTTTTTTTTCTTTAGAGACAGGGTCTCACTATATTGCCCAGGCTGGAGTGCAGTGGCTATTCACAGGCGCGATCCCACTACTGATCAGCACGGGAGTTTTGACCTGCTCCGTTTCCGACCTGGGCCGGTTCACCCCTCCTTAGGCAACCTGGTGGTCCCCCGCTCCCAGGAGGTCACCATATTGATGCCGAACTTAGTGCGGACACCCGATCGGTATAGCACACTACAGCCCAGAACTCCTGGACTCAAGCGATCCTCCAGCCTCAGCCTCCCGAGTAGCTGGGACGACAGGCGCGCACCACCACGCCCCGCGAGATTGGTTCTTCCATCTGCATAATTTCTCTGAGATCTACCCAAGTTCCTGCGTAGTATTAAGGTCATTTTTGATCAGGATGAAATGATTCTGCTTGTTAGCAGATAACAGGAAGCCCTGTGCCCTGCATCTGAACACACTATCAGTGGCACCAAGTACTCCAAATTTCCCTACAGGAACCGCTAACACCCTCATTTGTGTAGGACAGTACTCTAATGGCAACTAAAAGATAACTTTGCAAATTCAGATGTGGTGTCTAAAGCTTCTTAGAGAGATTCCAGGAAGGAAAAATGATTTCCTCCTCCTGTTAGCCTGCAAACTGCCAAGACCTGAGTTCTCTCTCTCACCAAAGGTTTCCATTTACCTGTTACACAGCTGATGGGACTACAGGGCTCCAAGAACACGGGCTTCTCGTAAATGGCTTTTTTTAAAATCGAGGGTAATAATAGTGATTCCACCAACAGGCTTTCAATTTTTTCCTAGAAGGTAGACTTAAATTCTGCAGTGTTTCAAGGACAACTTGTTCTCTGAAAACCTGCTTCTTTTTTTACGAAAACTCTACCCCAATCCACGATGAGTAGTGCAAAGAGTTAATGGGTTTGGCTGCTAACGGAAAGATTCAAGGCCACTCAGAGGAGCCACAGAATAAAGGTCTGGGGACCCCCTTCCAGGAAATCATCCCCTAAAAACTTCATGGACCATGTTCCACTCTGACACATACACGCGGGGCAACTGTGAGTTGGATCAACTCAATGGCAACTGGTTATTGTTTTTTGGTTTGTATTCAGCTCTGGTGGCCTAGTGGTAAGGAGCTTTGTTGGCAACCCAAAGGTATGCAGTTCAAATCGACCAGCTTTCTCCATAAGAGAAAGATGGGCATTCTCTCCCTGTGTGAACTGACTCTGAAAACCCACTGGATAGTCAGGTTTGTTCTAAGTCGATGGTTCTAACAACAATAACAACAACAACAACAATAACAACAACAACATTCACCTATCATAATCTCTCTCGCTCTCTTTTTTTACTTAAGTCAATGATTTTATTTGACTTGGATCAAGAGTCAATACCCCGTATCATAATCTCTTTATAGTCATTTTGAAGTTATCTTTCTAAGGAATGAAACCAGTAGTTTTAGGAAATCCAAGTTTTCTAAAATTAATGAAGTGTGAGTAAAAATCAGCCAAAACGCTTGGCATGAGAATGACGTGCAGTGCGTGGAGACAGGGATGTTGCCCTCTCTATTGTCTGCAAATAGAATTTAACACTATATTAAAAGTAACAGACTATATCGCAATCAAGACAAAGAGAGATGGATTCAGGCATCAATGACAGAAATCACACCAGAAGGACAAGAGGAAAATGAAAGAAATTACATATTACCTCAATAACTGAACAAAGAACATTAAATAAGATGCAGTTTCCATTCCTACTGTAAGGCCGGCGGACAAGAATAGAAAGCTGGTACCATAACATAACAGGGACTATCTACCCTAAGAAACTTCTGTGGCCTGGAGGGTTCGCATGGTCTCCCCGCTGCTTTGCAGGAGAAAGATGAGTAATCTTTTCCTATGCGATGAATTTACAGCCTCTGAGGACCCGTTGGAGGGTCAACTATGAGTCGTTTGGACTTGACAGCACATAACAACAGTAATCACATCTATCCAAAGATACAACAGCACTGAACTGAACAGACACGTTCGTGACATTCAGCTATGATATGAGACAAGGCTGCCTGCTGCCGCTAGTCTTTAACACTGCAGAAGTTTATTAAGCAGCAGATTAGAGAAAGAGCAGATCCCTGAGCATAACTATTAGATCAACCTGTCAAGGAAGACTGTGGGGGAACTTAACAAAAGCCATCTGTACCCAGCTATTCCACTATTAGGAATATAAAGCAAGGAAATCAGAACTGAGACACAAATAGACATTTCTATACCTATGTTCATAGCAGGATTATTCACAACAGCAGGGAAATGGAAGCGGCCGAATTGCCCATCAACAAATGAATATGGATTGAGAAATTCTGGAACATTCATGCAATGAAATACTATGCGGCACTAAGAAGAAATGGTGTCACGAATAAATGGAAACCAATTTGCTTTATAAACAATCACTCAAATCACACACACACACACACACACACACAGAACAGAGCATGGATCGCTAATTTGACTCTGAAACTCACTGCCTTTGAGTTGGAACCAACTCACAGCTGACTCTCCAGAAAATGTTCAGATGCTATGAATCACACAGGAGGAGACTGCCCATTTTTCTTCCAAATTTAACTCTCGGTGCCCTTTATCTATGGAATGGGGGAGGATGAGGTTCCAGGTTAAGATGAGATGAGGTCATGCTGCACGGATACAAGGAGGCTGTGCGCTGGGAAGGAACGTTCCTTGGTGCTATCACCCTATTCACACGTCTGCGTGCCGTTCCACAATGGGAAGGGCCCTGCCCTTTGGCACGGTGACCACACAGGAAAAGTAGAACCCATCGCTCAGTGTGGACAGCAGGGAAGACCCCGAGTGCAGATGCCAAACACTGGTCCCCAGGGGTGAGGACATCTGTGTAGGTGACGATGCTCCGAAAGGGCCTTGCCACACAGCCTGGTTAGTGGGCAGGGGTCAAACAAGAGCTCCCCACGTACCTGCCCAGAGCTCTGAGGTGATGTGAGGGGCCATCGGGGCAGCCATTACCAGCAGAGCACACAGTGCGTCCTCGAACTCGGGGCTGTGCAGGACCACCCGCTGGGACATTTGCTAAGAAAAGGAATGACCAGTGTGAGAATATGGAGGGGTCAAAAAGCCAGCACAGGTCAAAAAGGACATCAAGATGGACTCAACTGGGCTGAACAATGTCCTCTCCACCTTAATCTATGTCACCCAGAACCTCAGATTATGACCTATTTTTAGAAATAGGGTTTTTACAGGTTTAAGGAATCAAATCTCAAACTCATTGCTTTAAGTCAATTCCAACTTACAAGGTCCCTGAAGGATAGAGAAGAAATGCTTCAGAGGGTTCTCAAGGCCTTGTAATCTGTGGAAGCAGATCCCTGGGTCTTTCTTGAAAGAGTGGCTGAACTGTTGACCTTTTGGTTAGCAATTGACTGGTTAACCACTGCATCACCAATCATAGTGGATCAAGGTGGATGAACCTTAATCCAGTGACTGATGTCTTTATAAGAAAAGAAAATAGAGGTACAGACACGTAGAGAAAACACTAGGTACAAGAGGTAGGAACTGGTGTCAGGCCGCCACAAACTGAGGAATGCAAAGGACTGCCAGCAACCACGAGAAGCAACGAGAAAGGCCTGGACCAGATTCAGGTTTCCCCTCTGTGCCTCCAGAAGAAGTACCCCTCCCCCCACACACACACACACACACTGACAGGTGGACTTTGGACTTCTGGCTTCTGGAGCTGTGAGATAAAAACTTTCTGTCGTTTCTAAGTTCTCCGCTTGTGCGGACGTATTACAGCAGCCCCAGGAACCAGTGCATCTTGGAAGGAAAGAGGCATGAGGAGGAAGGAAGAGGATTTTGACCTTGACTTCTGCTCTGGATGGGAAATGTTCCCCATTTAATCATAGGGTTAAAGAGAGCAGCAACAGCAAGCTTAATACTAGTAACTGAAATTCTGCTGTGCCCTCGGTCTAATGCTAACTCATTTGGTTCTTAAAACCACAGTGGGGGGAGGTAACCCTTCCAGAAACCAAGCAGTGGAGGCAATAAAGGGAGCGAGGCTGGAGAAAAGTCTTGAATAAGGTGCTGGATTTCTCACTAGCCAGCTGGACACGCCATTTAGCTTTCCTGCCTTCAGTGTCCCCATCTACAAAATAATGTGAGGTTTGACCCAGCCATTCCTTAGGAAGCTCCCAGAATAAAACAAGCTGTGACTATGGAGAAAACACTTCTTTAAGGTGACACTCTGTGGTGCTGCTGTCTGTCCTGGTATGTCCCCAGCACCCACCTCCCCACACAGTAGCTGCCTCTCCTCTGCTGCCAGTCAATGAGGGCAGACATACCACGTACCGACAGGGTGCCACTGAGTCCCATCAGCTGAGAAATCGCAGAGTTCAGAGAGAAGTCCTCTGTGAAACAGGCGGTCACCTATGGGTAAAAATGGGATTATTCACTTTCTCCTTTAACCTTTAAACACACACACACACACACACACACACACACACACACACACACACAAAGTAAAAGTATGTGAAGTTCAGTGAATGCAATCAACAATTTATATACATGTTAGCTACAATCTCAAATAGTCACTGTGCTGGTTCATTGTTTATAAACTCAAGGTCCTATTTCCATGATTTAAGACTCTATTCTCTCCCTTATTTGGGGCAATGTTGATTCTTGACGTAGGAGCTCAAAAAACAATGCTAATTACCCGAATAGGAGGCTACCGATGAGCAAACATCTAAACAAATACCCAGGAGATGGGGTAAAAGGTATCACTTCCCCTTGGAGACGTGACTTTAGTCCATAGAGCAGGGCATTAACATACGGGATAAGGTCAGTTGTACACACTGAAATGTGGACTCAACTCTAAATATAACATCAGCCATGTGCTATCGGCTATAAGCACACCCTTTGCTGAGGATGGAAACTTGGAAAAGGGGCAGCTTGCTTTGATCCAGGACAGAAAAAGGTGAGTCATCATTGGAGGGAAGGAGAGCTTCTGGTTAGAATGTGCGCGCTGCCGCTGGACCGTAATGAAATATCCGCAGGTGAGGATCGATTAATCAGAGGAAGAAGGACTCAGAGGAAGAAGGCTGACACAAGTGTCTTGATGGGCAACGTTTCAATTCTGACCACGGGTAAGAATGCAGAGAAGTGACATACATCTTTAAGATGTCAAGAGTTTCCAAATCACTCAAATAACCCGCTTAGATTATCTGACAGATTGGACAATTTGCCAGATCCGGAGAGAAAGTATGCGGTCTGAAAACAATCCCTCAGGCACCACTCAGTTCACTGAATTCTCCACCGGAAATAAAGCTGAAGTGACACCGAGGGAGAACATGCTGGACCCAGGGCAAGTGCGGGTCACACAAACAGGAGGGGGAGGAACCTGCTCTTACAAAGGCATCAGAGTCAAGGCCGGTGACCTTGGCCGGCTTTGTAAGTCTCAATCAGCACATCTTCGGGGTATAAACTACCCATTAGGAAAAGACAGTGGATAGAGGTGGCAGCTGAGTCACACGGTGGATGTCATGGCTGCCATCAGACACTTACAAATGGCCAATGTCTGGATATCTGTGCTTATCACAGTAACAACAACAGCAAAACTTATTTTCCCAAATCCACCAGATGCTCTGCTGGAGAAGGAGGGACAATTTCCTCCTGTACCTGTCAGATCTGATTTGACGGTACATGTACAAAAAATAATAAAACAAAACAAAACAAAACAAAAAACCCCCTTATTTTCCAATTCCTAAATTCCTTCTTTCAAAGACACAAAATGACATTTTTTGAAAAAAGTTCTTAAAATGGTAACTTGGTCACCTTTGTAACTCTATAACAAAGTTCTGAATTAAAAAGAGAAAATTCTTTATTGATAAAGAAACTTTAAAATATTTAGACAATCATGTTCTAGAGCTCTGGTGGCCTAGTGGTGAGAAACTGTGCTGCAATACTGAAGGCACGTGGTTTGAATCCACCAGCTGTTCTGCAGAGAAGGATGGGCAATCTCCTCCCACGCGATTAAACGCCCTTTGAAAGCCCACCAGAGGGTCGGCTATGGGTCAGTTTTGACTTGATGGTACACACCGACAACAGAGACTATCAGTCTGCAAATCTTAATGGCCAACACCTCTGGTGGTGTAGTCTGCAGGCACCTACGCAGCTAACTCAAAGGTGGGGCCACTCCAGAGGTTCAAAGCCACCAGTGGCTCCAAGGGAGAAGGACGCCCAATCTCCTTCGGGGTGATTTACAGCCTCTGAAACACTGCTGGCCGGTCACCTCTGACTCCAGGGCACTGAGTGAGTGCTAGTGAGTGGGTGGGTTACAGTCAACAACCAGCATGGACGTGGGTAACAAAGCGGGGGGATGCGAAAGTCCCCATTATTTTGGGCATTACAGAACCTGGATTCTACTTGGTTCCTGACAAGCTGTGTGATTTTGGGTGAGACATTTAAGCTCTCTGTGCCATCCCTGTTTTCATCTGTAAAACCAGACAGCTAAAAGAGATGGGATCTTCACGCCCCTTTCAACTCTAAATATAACATCAGCCATGTGCCATCAGCCATAAGTGTACCCTTTGCTGAGAATGGAAACTTGGAAAAGTGGCAGCTTGCTTTGACCCAGGACAGAAAAAGGCATCACTGGAGGGAGGGAGAGCCCCCATGGTCCCCAGCAAAGCAGGAGGGCTTCCCAGGCCACGTGGCAAAGGCCCCAAAGAATGAGGAGTTAGAGAATTGACCAGTGTCGCCTGGCGTGGTCTGACCTGAGAGACGGCCGAGTTCTTGTACTCCCAAAGCTTCTGGGCTTCGGCTTTCTCCTTGTTACTCAGCAGCTCAGGCCTGGGGCCCTTCCCAGAAGCCCTGGCCTCGATGAATCGCGTTGTCAAGGACCACAGACGCTGCTGCCATCTCAGCACCCCGGGAAGCGCGTCAGCTAAGGTTTAGTAAATGAGAGACAGAAAGAGAGAGAGAGAGAGAGAGAGAAGTGAGGAGAGAGGAGAGAGAGAACAGAGGAGAGAGAGAGAGAAGACAGGAGAGAGAGAGAGAAGAGAGAAGAGAGAGAGGAGAAAGAAAAGAGAGGAGAGAGAAGAGAGAAGAGAGGAGACGGAGAGAGGAGAGAGAGAGAAGCGTGCACATGAGAACACTTGACTCGATTACAGCTGAGCCGAGAAAAGCACCTGTGAATGGACGTGAGCCTTCACTGGGCCCCACTGGGCCCATCCGAGCGCAGGGGTAAAGTCCCGGCTCCGGGCCTCTGGAAACTCACCCCATCATATCAGTAGAGGCCTAGGGTACTCAGAGCGCTAGACCACAGGGCTACTCCAGGCACTGCTAGGACTAGCCAGTGAGGGGAGGCTCAAGCCTGCTTCCCGCAACAGGAAAGCCTTCAGTGAGGACAATGCCTGAGGCACTGGCAGTGATGGTGGAGCCAACAAGGGTTGACACTGAACATGAACTCATGCACAGACATAAACCCTGCATGGTCTCACAGTGCACCGTGGGCCCATGCTGCACACACACTCGACAGTGTACTCTCCCGGGGGGGACACACAATCCCACCTCTCCCTCACCAACTAGATCCCATTCTGTTATTCTGTACCATTGAGTCAAACCCACTCAGAGCTGACCCTCCAGTGGGTTTTCAGAGGCAATAAATGGCCATGGAGTTGACTGCCCATCCTTCACCCACGGAGCAGCAGGCAGATCCGAACCACAAGCCTTTGGCTTGAGAACTTCTCAGCCTGATCATCTGGAAGAGCTGAATGGTGCCCTCTGGTGGCCCAGCAAGGCTCTCAAAATTGGGGCCAGTCCAGAGTCTGACTGTGAGTCAAGGTCAACGTGACAGCACACAACTGCAACAAGCAGCAGGTTTTCTTCCTCTCTGGTCACTGCTCTGGTGTCCTCAAGCCCAGAGGCTAATTAGAACCCTCCAGAAGGCTCGTCAGAAAGAGACTCTTAGAGCTAGTCCTGAGGTCAAGTGGAGGAGCCAGGGCTGTGTTTGTATAAATAGTAAGCAGCCAGTGATAGGAACGCAGCTGGACCTAGCGCTGGCATCTGCCACTCGGCTCCCGGCCACACTCTGCCGAGGACGGCATGTCAGAGCCATAGTGACTCCTCAGTGTACACACGTCACACAAGTCTCAAGAACCAGGGAGCAGATCTGCTCACAATAACAGCTGGATTAGGTCACATGGAGGGAAAATGAGTGTTCTTCAGAGCTCTGGTAGATCAGGGGTAAGGAACTGTGCAGCCAATGCAAAGGCACACTGTTCGAATCCACTAGCTGCTCCGTGGGAGAAAGATGGGCAACCAACTCCTGTGCGATTTACCGCCTCTGAAAACCCGCTGGAGGGACAGCTATGGGTCAGTTCTGATCCGAAAGTATTCACAACAAACAACAATGTATTATATTATATATTAATTATATATTATATATATTATATATACTCAGAGGCTCCAGGTTATTTTACCTATTGCCACTTTAGATTGAAACAACTTTGGAGACACAAACCTCCTTGGTTGTTTGGAGGCTGCTGTGGGGTGTTTTGAAGAGGACCAGACCCAAGCCAGAACTTTATGGACTGTGACATTATTTTAGGGGGAAAACAACAAGAGCTGAGCTCCAAACCTTTCAGGGCAGATCAGGAGGGGCTGGGCCTCTCTGGACAATAGCAGGCCTCAGACAGCCTGGAAGCCAATCTGTCTCCATGGAAACGTGGTCTCTGTACAACTTCCATCAGTATCACCATGGAAACTTGCTATAGGGCAGATTCCTGGGGACTGTGTCAGCAGGTCTGGGCTGAGGACTGCGGACCTGCATTGCAATGGGTTCCCTGGACAAACCCGAGGCTCACTAAACATCTGGGAACACTAGAACGGGACAGGGTCGCTCCACAGATTCCTATTTCATGGAACGGATCCCTTGAAATCTCAACTACTGTTTTCAGGAAAGACACTTCCTTCCTCAAGTTCTTTGGGAGTCCAAGGCAGATCACAGTGGACACAGGGCAGGAAGTGGGGAGGTCGCTTACTCTTCACATCCCACAAGATGTCCTTCTCGGGAGGGGCGGCGAAAAGGACGTAGAGCCGCATGGTGTCGATGCCGTACTGCTCCACCACGTCCTTGGGGTCCACGCCGTTGTGCTTGGACTTGCTCATCTTCTCCCACGTCACCTCTAACGCCTCTCTTGTTTTTGAATGCACGGGAACAGTACCTGGACACAAAAGTACACATGCGGGTATGATATGTGTGATACTAAACAGAGCTCTATTAAAAAAGTGCATTCATTCATGGAGACAACACTGCGTGCGTGATTAGAAGTGTCCCTCTGAAGAACCCCACTCATCCCCTGAGCCTGACTCTCTGCATCTACCTATCTGCGCATTGCGGGGCGCTGGTGGCACAATCTATGGGGGGCTGTGCTGCGAAGCCGCCTCTCTGGGGGTTCTAACCCCTCCGTGGCTCAGCAGGAGGAAGGTGGGCAGTCTCCCACGTGGTCCTCACTTGACAGCAATGAGTTTTAAGCATCTGTGCAGTGATATGCACATTCTTATTTATTTAAATTTATGGTTGTTGGGCTACACACACAGCAGAATACACACAAATTCAACAGCTCAAAACAACATGCCTTGGGAAACTCTATGAACTTTGATAAATGTCGACAGTTGTAGGGGGCTTCAGGCCTTTTGTTTATAGGGTCGCTATGAGTCGCGCTTGACTTGAATGCAATCAGCAGCAACAACAACAACAACAACAACAACATGTGATCAGTTCAGTGATACCGATCATATTCTTCAAGTACACAGACATTCTCACCCTCCAACTTATTCTTCCCCATTAACATAAACTTACTGTTACTTACGTTTCCTATCTAATATTTTTAAAAATTATTATTGTTATTATTATTATTATTATTACTAATTTTAGTGAAAATTTACAGACACTTAGGATTTCCATTCATTCATTGTTGCACCTTTCTCCCTGCTCCCTCCCCACCCCCCCATCACTCTTCTCTTTGAAAAGCAAAAGAAAAATTTCTTTATTGTTATACAATGCCTCCCCCCGGGTCCACTCCACTAATCTTTTGAGGTACCGTTGTCAATTTGTTCCTATGTAGACTCAAAACCCTGATGGCTCATAGCTGACCCTCCAGCAGGAATTCAGGGTGGTAGATGGATTTCCCTGAAAGGACAGGCAGGAGTCCATCTTTCTCCCAAGGGGCTGCTGGAGGATTTGAACCACAGAGAGTGCCATCTGTGGGCTAGCAGTGCAGCTCTCTATGGACGATGCTCCCAGAGTTCCCTGTTCCGAGGCAGACAGTTTTTTCAAAGTGTAGTTCTCAAGGCAGATATCCTTTACTAAACTACTGCTTGGTTTTAAGAAGGATCCAGATTCCTCTATATTACACTATGAAAAATACTTGTTGGTTTTCCTCCGCTTAATTGTGGCCTGCCTACCTTGTTCACAGAAACTCCCTTTCATGAATAAACTGTACAGCTGTAAGAGGGCTTGTATTGGCTTTTTGCCAAACTCCAAACCACCCCCAAAAAAAGGTCCTCCTTTAGACGTTAAATGTTTATACAAGGAAAAGTAAAAAACAAAAAAACCCCCACACAAACAAACAAAAAAACCAATCAAAAAACAAGAAAAGAAATTCTTGCATCCATTGCTGCTGCTTTACAGCTTCAGGGTCTCCTACAGAGAGCAGCAGCAGGCCAGCCAGGGCTCTGACACAAAGCACCTGAGAGGACTTCACCTCAAGGCCTGGCTCTGCCATTCCTGGTCACAATCACTCAGACATGCCTGTGTGTCATCAGGACTCCTGACCGGTTCATGCTAAATGCGAGGTCCCTGTGTGGTGTTAGTCACTCATGGTGACCTCTCACCTTCAGGTGATGCTGACGGAACAGGCCTTCGGGGGCCATGAGTGGGTGAGGCGATGTCAGTGTTGGTAAGGTGACTCTATTGTCATGTCACAGTGGGTGGGACCAGTCTGAGGACACCTAACAAGGCTAAGCCTCCCCAGGAATAAGGTCTCAGAGACCCAGGAAGCCTGTTGCTGCTGTTTGGCACCAGAGCCATAAGGTTCTGAGATGAGTGGAGACTTGTTCACTCTGTGAGCTGAGGTTAAGGGAAAGCAGAATGCAGGCCTGACAGAGGAACAAGACAGGGGCGAGGGCAGGGAGATGCAGGATCAAAAATGAGAAACTAGTAGTGGGGGGGTAGGAGAGGAGAGGAGAGGGGAGGGGATGGGAGGGGAAGGGAGGGGAGGAAAGGAGAGGAGATAGGATGGAGTGGCCTAGTGACTCTGCTGTGAGGCCTGACAGTATTTCCCACAACTGGCATTAAGTGATGTCCCTGTTGTTCTTGTGAAAAATTTATCTTTGGGTAGATTTCTGCTCTTTTTAACTCCAACAACCCAACTCCCAAGAGACCACTGCCTGTACTTAAGCGTCAACCCCACACTTCATGAGAAGGAGATGCATTAGGTAGATGGAAACCCACCCCTGCTGACCAAAGTACAGGAGGCAAGTCTGCGCATAAGGTCAAAGACGTTCTGCAGAGCACCTGGTGCCGTGGCAGGAGAGTGAATCTGCTCCTGCAGCCTGGGAAGAGGTTTATTCAGTAGTGACGAGGCTCAGGAAACCGACCTCGCTACTCTCCTGAGTGGGAACTGGCCTTTATCGTGCCTTGTGCAAATTAGGAACGAAGCATCTTTCTTGTCAGAGAAATGAAGTCAGAAAAAGATTCCCTTTCTTGGAAGCTGTGGTTCTGGGGAATATGGTCGGCAATGGCTTGGCTGCAGGGCCCAATCACCTCCTTGGCTGGGGCTTTTGAGCAGTGCACAGTGCACAGCTGCCCACGGCAGGCTTGTCCCTAACAGCGAACACCTCATCATAGGCTGAAATTCATGTGCCGAGGACTGAATCCTCTCTCCTCTGACCTGTGCTAGAAAATGCTGCCAACTTATGCTTCTCTAGCTTCTCCACATGGTTCATGCTGACCATTCTAAATCTTTATAAAGCATGGCTTTAATCAGGTCATTCCACTGATTATTTCTACCTAAACCCACTCTCTAGAGCTTGGTAAGGGAGGCAGTCTACAATGGAAGGGGCTGTTGGCCCCTGATCTCATTCATACGCGTGGGTTACACATATGTAATGGTCAGAGCACTAGGGGTTTCTTCAAGACTGTCCTCACGTACCTTCCCTACCTTGTGACATGTCATTGATTTCACTCGTGTGCAGGATAAGACCCTAACTATGCCACCTACAGATCACCAGGAGGAAATCTCTTTCAGATAGAGGCAGAAACGGAAGAGCGCAGGGAACAGGCCTGCAGGGGCTGGGAGAGGAGGGGTGTGCAGGGAAGCAAGAAGAGGTGCTTCCTTAGGCTCCTTGGATACTGCTCACAGTAGAACACCCCACCCCCTGCCCCTCCCAGGTTTACAGATATGCTTCCGGGTGATGCCACAGGCAATAAGAGCATGATGACGGTGATGAACACAGTGTCACTGAAGGACAGGAAGACACACAGAAGGATGACTGGAAATCAGAATCATAGGGAGGAAGTGGGGAAAGTACAGTCACATCGAGGTGTCATAATCAATGTTCTAATATGAAATGTGTATGAATGGTTGAAAGAAAACCCTCTATTTGCTTTTTAAACTTCCACTCAAATACAATTAAAAAAAACCAAACTAATGAAACGAAAAAACAAAATTTTTAAAAAATCACCTATGACTAAATAGAAAACAAAAATGAAACTATAGAAACTGTAAGGGGCAGTGAACTAGATTGACGGAAACAAATATAAAATTGTGCACGCACTGTGAAGAATGTAGTGAGTATCATCAAACAATGGTGGCGAAAAAGCTGAATAGGAACATCAATGATTTAATAAAAAACACATTATTACTGGGGGAAAAAGAGAGGTGATTTAAGAGAGTCCCACTTGACTTTGTTACATCTAAGTGTCACTCTTGCCAGAAGCTGACACGACCCTCCAACTGGGGCGGGGGGTTGAGGAGCTGACAGCAGATCTCAGCACCAGCTTCCAGAAGGTTCAGGCCAGAGGGAGCTGATGCTCAGAGACCACGGGATCGAGGGCGTCTCTTCCTAGACTCCCAGCCAGCCGGGGCCTTGACACAAAGTTTGCTCACTGGAGCGCTTCCGGTACCAGCGTTCACCCCCTGCAAGTATCAGGCCAGCACCTAAGGGGTTGTTCCAGACGGGTCCTCTTACCTGTGAGGTCTACTTCATCTCTCCGTAGATACTGTCCAGATGGAAGGCGGAATGTCTGCCCCTTGATGAGACCCTGAGCCAGCAGCTTATGGAAAGGCTCTCTGAGAAAGGGAAAGAGAGAAAGAAAAGGATTAGAAGAACCCAAAAAATAGTAACACAAACCTTATCTGCTGATGGGCAGAAACAAAGTCCTTTATGAAAACAAGTAGACTGACAAGATGGGAGGAGAACAAGACGTGGTGATTAGCTCCTGACGTCATCTTCGTTAGATCTTGAGCTGCCGCCTGGACTTGAACCCCTGCAGCGAGGTGCATTGCTAATGAAAAGGCTGCATGTCTCTGTGCATCAAATCCACCCACAGTTTCACAGCAGAAAGATGGGCAGGCTCGTCCTGGTGCAGTTTACAGACTCGGGAGCCTGGCTCAGGGCTGCTGAGTCAGAGCTGACTCCACGGCAGTGAGTGTCTGATGGAAACGATGACTCAGCACACTGCCTTCCACGTGGGAGACCCGAGTTTGATTTCTGACCTACGTATCTCATGTGCAGTCACCACCCATCTGTTAACGGAAACGGGTGTTGCTAGGATACCGGGCATCCTTCAGCAGAGCTTCCAAACTAAGAAGGGCCTGGGGACTGAACTCTGAAAACCAGCCAGGAAAGACCCCATAGAGCACGCTGTCATGACGATGGCACAGGACTGGGCCGAGTGTTGTCATGCATGAGGTCGCCATGCTGTAAGGTGCTGTTAAGCTAAGTATGACTCATAGTGACCACTGAATAACAGATCTATTAATTAGTCTCCCACTTATTACAGCCCCATTATTCCTGTGTATGGTAGAGTGGGAACAGACCCGTAGCTGACCCTCCGGTGGACTTTCAGAGGCAGTTAATCGTATCCTTCTCCCGAGGAACAGCTGGTAGCCTTGAACCATGTACCTGCAGGATTACCGTGCAGTATCTTGCCACTAGGCCACCAGAGCGCCCTTGAATAGCAGATCTGAACCCTGTTCTATGCTGCACCATCCTTGTCATTTCCGACACACTTGAGTCCACTGCTGCAGTCACTGTGTCAATCCGTCTTGTGAAGGTCTTCCTCCCTCTCGTCAGCCCTGCATAAGCTTTGTCTCACAGGCTCTGTGCATGTTGTTAGCAGAGGCTATTCCCTGGAGAAGGTCCACATGCTTGCAAAGGCAGAGGTCACGGTGAGTGGGGGCCAAGTCAACAGCAGCTAACCACAATAGCAACAACAACAAACAAATAATACAAAGGCTTTAAAAACCAAAGAAAACAACTGCAGGACTAGCTTTCGTCGGGCAGGTGAAGGAAGTGACTGGATATAAATACATCTGGAAGCACAAAGGAAAAGAAGCTGGGATCCTACAAGCACCTCAGTGGGGCCGACACTGGAGCATCAGGAGGCTACAGGGCGCAGTGTGTACATGCATCTGCAGGTAGAATTTTCTGCACAGAGTTTCATCTTCTGGGTTGGAACCTTCTACAAGTAACTTCACACGGAACAGCAGAAACAGACTGGACTATCTCCTCCTGAGGTGAGCTGTGTCCAGAGGATGAGTGTGACTCAATGTCCTCTGCTCCGGTGCCTCTGGGTGTGTTTGTTTTTTTTTTTTCTTTCATCTGTTATAAAGATTTACCTGTCAACGTGTCCACAGTTTTATCATGAATTTAGTCTACCGAATTTGTATAGAGATGTTTCATCTCAGATAAAAAAAAAATTGAGATCTTTTAACCTAAAACATCTAAAATTTAAGGGTTTCCTATAATAAAAATTATTCAAAAGACTTAATTTCTACTTGATTAATTCTGTATTTTTTTAGGGAGTTTCATTTTTTTGGGAAGTCTTTTGGTATAACAGGCTGAACTGCCCAAGCTTTGCATATTTCAAATTGGTGATAATACCAGTAGTAGCTACTTTATCTATTATCACCAGGTGGAAGGTGTCCAGTAGGTGACGTCAGGGCTGATGGTCCACCCGCCAAGGAAACCGCACCATTGCAATCCGCAGTGCTGTGCACCTTCCCATTAGCTGGACGCCCTGGCCCCATCCTAGGTGACACACTGGCCTGACTAACGTTACTGTTGCATCACCCTCTATGTCTGTGTGGCACAAACAGTGAGTCTCTCCTGCTCTCGCTGTCTTCAAATGTGCTGTACTCATCATCAGCAAAGTCATTTTTCAGAACCCACATCCTTCACACGACCTCTGAAGCAAAAATGCTTGTTTTGCTGTTGTGCCTTGGGGAAAACAGGGCGCCACGGATGCTTATGCTTAACAGAGACCGGGGAGAGAGCAGGGAAGAGAGGAAGAGGAGGAAACACAATTATTGAATAAAAGTCTTGATACTGCAAAATCTAGTTGCTGGTGGGTCAGAATCGACTTGTTCTTATGCACCAAATTTATAGGGAAAAATCTATTGCTACTCAATCATATATTGGTGAGTTCCCCCCCACCCCAAAGACTACACCTAAATTTAAGTCTAAAGACTATTTTCCAAACAATTCTGATTTTTAGTTTACTAGGTGTTGCACCTGTTTTTTTGAGGTCACTCTCTTTTCTCTCATTGAGACTGGGGGGCTTTGGGCACCATTAAGAGAAACAGAAAAGATGTCTTTGGGGCAGAAGGAAGAAAAGAATAATCTGGATTCCAAAGACAAAAATAGGTGGTGGTGGTTGTTACGTGCTGTTGAATATGACTTACAGCGACCCTAGGAAGGACAGACCCTGTCCCATCCTGTGCCATCTTCACAATCTCTGATACACCTGAGCCCCCTGCTGCAGTCAAAGTACCATGAAGCCACAGGTTGGAAGGCTGAGGAAGAAACAAGGAATTCTGTTCTGCTTTTGCCACCTTGTGGAAATGGCGTGAATTGCAACCTGCTGGCTCTACTCTCCCCCCCACTTCCACGCATCTGGTTTCATTCTGTGAAATTGTCTTAAAAAGAAAAAAAAAGTGCTAAGTATATATCCTTTCTCTATTCTTATTCATTATTTAGCTGAGCAAATAATTCAAGAATCTGGACTATGGAGAAGAGTGTGGCATCAGGATTGGAGAAAGAAGACTGGTTAACAATGTGCACGATGCAGATGACACAATCTTGTTTGCACAGTGAAGAGGACCTGAAATGCTTGCTGCAGATGATTAAAGACTACAGTCTACAACGTGGATTACATTTCAACATCAAGAAGACAAAGGTTCTCACCACCAAACAAATGAGCAGCATCATAATAGAGAAAAGACGGGTGCGGCCGACAATTGCATTTTACGTGGACCCACAATCAACTCCCATTGTAACGCCAGTCAAGAATCAAAAGACATGTTGCATTGGGAAAATGTGCTGCCAAGGACCTCTCCAGAGTGCGAATGGGCAACGACGTCAGTTTAAAGACTAAGGTGTGCCTGATGGTCTTGTCCATTGCTTCCTCTGCCTCTGAAAGTTGGACAATGAATAAGGATGACAGAAGAATCGGTGCCTCTGAATTGCAGGGCTGGAGAATATCCCAGGGACTGGCAAAAGAACAAACAAATCTCTCTTGGAGAAAATGCAGCCCTGGGGCTTCTTAGAGGCAAGGACAGTGAAAGTGTGTTGATGCTTTGGGCATGTTATCAGGAGGAACCAGTTCTTGGAAAAAGACATGCTGGCAAAGGTCAGAGAAAGAGGGGACCCTCAACAGAACGGGATGACAGTGACCGTAACAATGGGCCTGAGCATGGTGGAGGTGGTGAGGACGGAAGAGGACCAGGGAGCTGAAGTCAACTGGACAGTACCTAACAACAACAACAACTACAACACAACAACAACAACAACTACATGTGACAAGACACTTGCCTTCTCAGCAACCCTCACGTCTTCCTAACTCAGTGACGTTCATTATGCTCATCAGATTGCTCACCCATCACTTGTGTCCCATCTAAATTTCCTCATCACCCTTAACAGAAGTTCCCCTCAGAGTCCCCCCCAATGCTGTGCCGTCCTTAAGTAATTTTTTTCTTTTCTGTTCTTCCTTAAACTTTTACATGAAGTATAAGGGAGCTCTGGTGGCATAGGGGCAAGAAGTTGCACTTTAATCCTGAAGGCATGTGGTTCGAGGCCACCAGCTGCACCGCAGGAGAAGGATGGGCTGTCTCCTCCAGTGCGATTAACTGCCTCTGAAAACCTGCCGGAGGGTCAGCTATGGGTTGGTTCTGACTCTATGGCACACAACAACATAGCACATATATTTAAAAGTATAAAAAAAAATTGAAGAATATATAATGTGTACTTGAGTGAGAACTGGTTATAAACTAAAACCAATCAAGGCAATACTGACCCCTAGTGACCCTCGCTATGGACACAGCAGAACAGTCCCATAGGGTGTCCAAGACTGTAATCTTTACAGAAGCAGACAGTCTCGTGTTTCTCAAGTGTGGCTGCTGGGTTTGAACTGCTTATCTTTTGTTTAGTAGCTGAGTGCTTAATCATTGCATCACCAGAGCTCCTCAAATGAGTGGAGAGAACACAATGGACACACCAGCACTCAGACCAATGGTAGATGGTATGTGACCAACCTCCCCTCTGGCAGGTGCCAACTCTCCACCAAAGGCAACCGTGATCCTCCTGTCAAAACCAGTGATCATCTCTGTTTCAAAGACACTTACGGCCATTGCAGAGTGAGAGATCTCAGCAGGCCGCCCACTTAGACGCTCTCCCTCCAACCAGCAGGTATTCACCCCTCCAAAGAACAGCAGGGCTTTGCCGCATTGAGCACAACACCCAAAGCTTGCTAGTTAAACCAGTTCCCCACTGCCATCATGTCTGGCTCACTGACCCTCCACAGGCTTCCCAAAGCTGTGAGCTTTAACGGAAAGAGACTCTTCCATCTTTCTCCCACAGAATAGATTCAAATAAGGTACAAGGATCTGTCAGGGCCCCTGGCGGACTTGGAAACCAGTCCTGCTGGTACAGAGACAGCATATCGTCAAGTTCATTGTTTGCAGACTCATGGTCAATGTCACATACCAAACATTCAGTCAGCAGACAGGCTTGGGACAGCAGCAGTGGACCAACATCTATAAACAACTGAGCTGCTCATTTACCAAGTGAG